TAGTTTAAGATAGTCCTATTTATCTATCTCTGTTTTCACTTGCTCGGCCAGTGGCATGGCATGTTTGAAGATACCATTCAATGTCATGAAGGGTTTTGCCAACTTTGTCTTCAATGTACCTTATGGTTTCTGGTCTGATGTTGAGGTCTTTAATCCATTTTGATCTTACTTTTGTACATGAAAAAAACAATCCCGTTCACAATTGTGCCCCAGAAAATCAAGTACCTAGGAATCAGCTTAACTAAGGAAGTAAAGGACCTGTACAAAGAAAACTACAAAACACTACTTCAAGAAATAAAAGAGGACATGAGGAAATGGAAAGATATCCCCTGCTCATGGGCCAGGAGACTTAACATTGTCAAAATGGCAATACTACCGAAAGCATTGTATAAATTCAATGCAATCCCTATAAGGATACCCATGACATTCTTCAAAGAAATGGAGCAAACACTCCTGAAATTTATATGGAACAATAAGCCCCCACGAACAGCTAAAGCAATTCTTGGGAAAAAGAAAATGGGAGGAATCAACCTCCCTAACTTCAAACTCTACTACAAAGCAGTAATAATTAAAACAGCATGGTACTGGAACAAAGGCAGAACTGCAGACCAATGGAACAGGGTTGAATACACTGACATCTCCCCTCAATCATATGATCATCTAATCTTTGATAAAGGTGCAAGAAATGTGAAGTGGAGTAAGGAAAGCCTCTTTAACAAATTGTGCTGGCATCACTGGACGGCTACATGCAAAAAATGGGCTCAGGAAAAGTTTTCTTAATGTAATGTTATAGACTCCTGAAAGCTCAATTAAAAGCAAGCCAAAAAATTAGCCTTTTTTTTTTTTTGCAGTGAGGGTGATTTCTGAGAAGACCAGGAGTTACACACTCTTGGTACTGGCTCTCTGTGGAAGTGGCTCACTTTAGTTGAAGTGTGTGCACACACTTCTTTGGAGTATGCTGGAGACCACACAGCTTTTTGTGCTACTGGAAATCCTAAACAGCAGAACCACTGATATGGCACTCTAGGGTGCTAGAATCAAAATCACAGCTTCATAGGCCTCAGGCTTGCAAAGGTAGCTCTGCACTGCTGGGCCATCCCTGGCCCTGAAATCCGAAAGTGTCCAAACACAGCAAGTGAATCACAGTGACAGCAGATGAAGACAGATGCCTAATATTCATGGTAACTATTTGTTTATCTTTCTCCTGCTTGCACTGTGTGCATGACAACAAGCTGATGTAGTGGTGTAATGGAGTAATTCCAGAGGGATCTTTGCAAGAAATGTAGGGTTTGGCAGCTGCTTGTAAATAGAGACTGTATTTCTTCCTTTTCTTTACAGTTGGTTTCAAAGAACTGTAAATGAAGACTTCTGACAACAAGAATACTTCTTAAGCCTTGTATGTTTGGGTTTCTAAATCAGGAAAGTTCGGCATTAGAGTTACACATTATTTGAGAGTAAATATGATAACTTTGGGGAATCTGAGTTCATAATAACAATTCACTATTTATCGAAAAGACTGGATTATTTGTACCAATTATAAACTGGTGAAATAAGTCCAAATCTTTGCATTTTGTACAGAGACTGGGTTTGAATAAACTTTCGGGGAAGTCTCCTTGGGCTTTGTATGAGAGTGCCTAGTTCAGCAATCCTTTAATCATGGTGTATAAAAGCAAATGTGGGTGTGACATGTAAATTTATGGTATGGGATGGAATTGCTCTGAACTGAGCTTTCGTAGAGTGCTTGCTGATATCAGTAGCTTTTTTTTTCTTTTTTGGGTCACACCTGGCGATGCACAGGGGTTACTCCTGGCTCTGCACTCAGGAGTTACTCCTGGGGGTACTCAGGGGACCATATGAGATGCTGGGAATCAAACTCAGGTCGGCCACGTGCAAGGCAAATGCCCTATCTGCTGTGCTATCTCTCCAGCCCCAATATCAGTAGCTTTTGATTTCAGTGGCTTTCAGAAACTGAAGGCATTTATGAAGCAGTGCCTCCAGAGAAGTTGGCTCACAGTTGGGTTGTTATTACAAGGACCAGGAGAGTAGAACAGTTGTATCAGCTCATTAGTTACCTCTCTCACTCCTTTACTCAAATAAATATCTACAAATATCTATGTTCAATTATCTAGTCTCTCTCTCTTCTCTCCTCTCTCTCTCTCTCCACCCTCACCCTCTCCCTCTTTCTGTCTTTGTTTTGGGTCCCTCCATGTCAGTGCTCAGAACTTACCCCTAGCTTGGTGCTTAGGGGTCACTCATGTTGTGCAGGGGATCATATATGATGTTGGGGATAGAACCCAAGTGTACTGTGTGCAAGTGACTTATCTACCATGCTATAGCTCTGGCCTTTTCTATTCTCCTCTTGTCATGTATTTCAGGGAATACTGACTGAATACACAGGAAATGTCTCCTAAACTGATCTTGGGAAAGCCCCATGCTCTTTGGCAATAATTTGTATAAACATGTATGTGTGATGGGTCCTGAGGGTCATAGAAGATAACCTTCTGCAAAATTCTGGGAGACTTTTCCTTAATCCTAAGGGAAATCCATAGAAGGAAATGATTTTTTTTTCCTTTTTGAAAAAGAGTGGGTTGGAGCTATAGCACAGTGGCTAGGGCGTTTACCTTGCAAGCGGCCAACATGGCTGACCTGAGTTTGATTCCTCTGCCCCCCTCGGAGAGCCCGGCAAGCTACCGAGAGTATCGCGCCTGCATGGCAAGGCCTGGCAAGCTACCCGTGACATATTCGATATGCCAAACACAGTAACAATTGTCACAATGGAGACGTTACTGGGCCCGCTCGAGCAAATTGATGATCAACGGGAGGACAGTGACAGTGATAGTGAAAAAGAGTTATTACCTGGGTAAATTTTGTGATCATGAGAAAAGCTATCCAAGACATTAGTGGACACATTGTATATCAGAAGAGTAACATGCTAGTTGTCAGACAAATATACAATACTAGCTGCAATGGTTTTCAAACCTTACCTTCAAATAATCTAGATGACCAGGCCACATTTGCAGAAGTTTAATTTAATGCATCTAGGGGAACACTTGGGCATTAGGAATTCAAAAAAGTTCTAGGTGATTCTGTTATACAGCAATTTTAGAATCATCTGATCTAGAATGTGATAACAGGAGTCATCATTTAAAACTTTGGATTTGAAATAGGTTTAAAAACATGACATGTCAGGGGCTGGAGGGATAGTACAGCGGGTAGGGCACTTGTCTTGCACCCTTGTGTCCAGAGTTTGATCCAGAGTACCCCATATGGTCCCTTGAAATTAGCCAGGAGCAATCTTTGAGAGTAGAGCCAATAGTAGGCCCTGAGCACTTCCCAGTGTGGCCCAACAACCAGAACTAAAAAGACACGACATATCAAAAGTTTCACACAGAACTTTTAAGTTTTTTAAGCCCCATATTTTGTATCTTTTAGTTCTATAAAAAACAAACAAACAAACAGGGGAGACTAAAGTCCAAAGCTCCATACTGTAAAATTGTTTTTTCCAAGAATCCTTAAAGTTGGGGCTGGAGCCACAGCACAGCAGGTAGAGTGTCTGCTTTGCATGAGGCCAACCTAGGTTCGATCCTGGAATCCCATATGGTCCCTCGAGCACTACCGGGAATGGTTCCTGAGTGCAGAGCCAGGAATAACCCCTGAGCATCTAAAGGGGTGCTTCAAAAAGTAAAAAAAAAATTCTTAAATGTCTAGGAATTTAAAGGCACATAACTTTTTTCTAAAGGTGATCTCTGTTCTTTTTCTAATATTTGGACTGCGTTTAGCTATTTTAATAGCAGTGGTGGACTCCCTTGATATGGGGATATTTTTATCTCAGCAGAATGTGCGGCACCAATAGCATTGAGTCAGTTGGTTGTTTCAGCTGAGTCCTTTTCTTAGAAGTGACATGCGCTCTAATTTGAGTAGAGGATATAGTGATTGAGAATACACTGGGTAACTTCTCTGTGATTCCATAAGCCACCTTATTGCCAGTTATGGTTATCTGAAAAAATGATCTCTCTCTCTCTCACTCTCTCTCTCTCTCTCACTCTCTCTTTCTCTTCCCCACCCCAACCCTTTGGGGCTATGTTTTCTGCCCTACATATGGCTTAGTTAACTTTTTTTTTGCCAAGAATTTTCCTACCCTAACCCAGAACTCTCAGGTTCTTTGTGGGTTTTGACTTTACTTCAAGCCGAGTAAGCGTGTGTCCAGTTGCAACTCTGGTCAAGTGAAAATCGATCCCAGACAGACAATGATGCGCACAAGATTCCTCTTTTCTTTTCACCCCCCAAGGAAATTTAAGGAGGTCTTCCATGATTATACGGCCACAAAGCCATTGCTTGTATTACAAGATAATTAGGCGGAAAAGTTCTATTTGCCACACAATGTGCACAAAAGTTATCAGAGAAATTTCATCATCGAACAGTTGAATATCACAAGTATAATCTTCAAAATTTTCTACGGGGGTCTGATCCAGCGACTTTTAAGTGGGAAACTTATTTCCACAGGGAGGGATACTTGGAAAGAGTCTTTCACTACTTCAGAGTTTTAGAATTTCTATAAAATATCCAGAGATCCATTATTTCCATTATTTGTGAACACAATTTAAAATAAATCGCTCAGTTAAGAGACACAATCTTATCAGGAGAAAATACAAAAACCCCGGAGTGTAAAAAAGTTTTGTTTTTGTTTTAAGTTCTTTATTTCTATTCTAGACGTCAGACCCGCATGCACTTGCATTCGTGTTCACGCTCTAAGCGCGCTTTGGAAGCGGGAAAGAACTGGTTGTTTTTTTTTTTTAAACCAGGGAGTGCACCAAAGTTATAAAGAAGGCTCCCAGGGCACCATATTAATGACAAATCACAGGAGGTGGTTCCAGTGCAAGGTTGTGAAAACTCGTTTCTCACTGCAGGAATTGGGTTGGGCCACTCCTTCGGCCCCCCTTCTCAAACACAAATATTTTTCATATAATAAAAGTCTGCTTGCCTGTTTCCTTAGGGTTGATCAGGCAGACACCTCCTTCCCTAACAGCTCCTTAAAGGAAAAAAAAAAGATTGCAGCGCAGACTTTCCCGGGAGTTTTTAGACTTCCTCGCTGCCCGACCCTTGGAGAGGTGAGGGGGGTCCCTGGCGGGGGGGACCCGAAACACCCCCCGGGTTCCAGCGGTTGCAGCCCGCGGCCCGAGCATGCGCCCAGAGTTTGCGCCGCTGGCCCCGGCCGCAGCCGCGACTGCCTCGTCCGGACTTGGCGAGGACTTGGGAGGGACAGCGGCGCGGGGAGGTGGCTTAGCGGAGACTTTCCAGCAACTGCTGCCCAGGACTTTTTTTTTTTTTCCCTTTCTTTTTCCCAGGAGGCGACGGCGGCGATCGGGGGAGAGGAAGAGAAGGCAGCGCGTCTCCCGCTCGAGCCTCTGCAGCCTGGCGGCGCCCCGGGAGCAGCGTCCCGACCCCCGATGAGCCCCCGCCGCGCACTTGCAACGACCCCCGGGCGCCTGGGGTGAGTGGCCGCACGTCTGACGCCTTTCCTGCCCCGCGTCCCTCCCGCCCGCCCGCCCGCCCCGCCGACGACTCCCCCTCGGAGCCGTGTGGGCTGCCCCGCCGAGTCGCGGCCGGCTTCCGCGCGTCCCGCCGCCTGCACTTCCCCCCGTGCCCTGCGGGGGGCGCGCGGCCGCGCTCGGCTTTGTGCTCCCCGGGGCTGCTGGGGAGCGCGTGGGGTCGCGGCCCCGGCCCGGGGAGGGAAGGAGGAGGGCGGGGGGCGCCGAGTGACTAACCCGGCGTCGGCACAGCTGCTGCGGCGCTCACGTCCCCGCGCCCCTCCCCGCCCCGGCTAATCTATCATCCCAGGGACCAAACATCATTTCTCACGTTCTCCCCAGGAAACCCGAGTCGCCGGGCGGGTCCCGAGCTTCACACGGGTGGGGTGGGGGTGGGGGGTGTGCGGGTGGGGTGGGTTTGGGGGTGTCCGGGAACTGAACTCCTGAGCGGACACTCGCGGGGCCGCAGGCGACGGGTCCCGCGGGTAGGTGGGGTTCCCAGCTCAGCTGCCCTCTCGAAAAGGGCATGCTTTGGGGGGGAGTTGGGGGGGGGGAGTTGGCATCCCGGGTTGCATCCGCACACTTGGGGTCTCCGCCTGGTTCCCGGGGACGGGGGGCGCCTTCCTTCATCCCGGGACCCCTGTGTCTCTGTCTGCAGCAGGTGTCCTCTGCAGCAGAGTTTTGGAACTTTGCGGGGAGTTGCGGTTCTTGTCGGTTCTCAAGTGGAACGAGCGATGTCTCAGACTCTTGGTCCCCTTGGCGGGGCTGGCGGGGGTGCGGTGCGCGGGGGAGGCGGGGAGCACAGTGGTGAGGGTTTCCCTGTTCTTTTGCAGATCGCTGCTGCTGCTTTGCACCACCGGGTAGGATGTGGTGAAAGGATGGGGCTTCTCCCTCCCGGGGCTCACCATGGCCAGAGAAGATTCCGTGAAGTGTCTCCGCTGCCTGCTCTACGCACTCAATCTGCTCTTCTGGGTAAGTGAAAGGGTTCCGCGGCACCAACAGGTGGGTACGGTACTCCCCCGCCCCCCACCAGCCACAGCCACCCGGCACGTTGCTCCCCAAGACAGAGCAAAACGTGAATTCATTACCAGGAAGCACACCTATTATTTTATTTCGAGGAGTGAAATTTTGCCTTTAAAATGCCCTTTGAAACTGTACATCATGGTGTTTCACTAATAAAAATTTAAGAAAAAAAATAAAATGCCCTTTGATCAAATTCCCTTTATGTTTCGAAAAAAAAAAAAACCCAGCGCTGGATACTAGTGACAGTAAAATTAGACTCGAAGTTAATCTGGGGATATAAATAAATGCACGTGCTCGTGCTTGCTGATAAGAAAATGATGACACACGACTAATAAGGGAACTTAGTTTTCAGGAATTTCAGATAACTGGCAAGCAGTAAATTGTTTCCTTGTTCTCTTCGCCTATAAAATCTGGTTGGGGCAAGCAATTTTATTGTTTTTGTAAGAATTCATGTCCGGATATCCTCTCAAAAGACTGGATAATTTTTTTTCTTTCAAGATGATTCCATACCATCTGAAAAGATGTTTTCCACGCAACTTTTCTAAGTTAGCAAAGTTTTAAGAATTTTGTGTATGCTTTTGAAAAAAATAAAAACGTAAAATGTAACATATTTGTGGAAATCATTATGCCCTATGATCTGGTGATTTATTTTTAAGCTTTGCACCCAGGCACACGTTTTTATTGTCGCTAATAACCGTGTTACTTTTGAAATTTATAAGGGAAATGTGTACCTGAAATTGAACCTTACTTTAGGAAGCTATCATACTTAGTTAGATACTTTTTGCCAATTTTGGGGTTTTGTTTTTGTTTTTTATGTCAAAATTTTCTCCTAGGAATCTTCGTATGTAACTTACTTGTATGACTGGTATTGACTAACCCTTTGTCTTACATTTGATATCTGGAGGATGGCATTTTAGTTGACCTCCTCTATGGATGACTCCATTTGAAGATGACAGATTAATCCTTATTTCGGACTAATCTGAAAGATATTAAAATTGGCCACTATTTTTCTCAATATGAAAAATTGAAGCATTGTGTAGTTAACTTCACCACTTGGAAAAGGAAAGTCACTTGCTGAGCTTATTGTAGTTTTTAATTCTAAATACTTATTCTTAACATGGCTTATTAAATTACATGCTTGGCCATGAAACTGATTTGAAACTTTATATACCATATGTGTTTTTACGCTTTTCTATCTTATCATTTTATACTTCTTAAAAATTAAGAATGTTACATTTTATAATTTCATAAAATTATAAATTTTACTATTTTATTATTTTTATACTTAGAAAAATTATGACCATTACATTTTTATTACTAAAGTTGGGATTAAAGTCGACCTAATTTGAATTTCCTTACTTTTTGGATGAGCAAACTAAGTAGGTGAGTCACTTACCAAAGATCGGGAAGTACCTAAGATTTTTGTTCTTGTTCAACAAAAAATATTGCTTTGGAAGGCCCAATAAAAGCATTGCTTTTCTGAGTAATGAATAATATTTGCTTCAAAACACCTGTTCCTTCAACATCTTCAAGGATTTTTTGAAAAAGGATAGATTGTAAAATGTTATATATTTTGGTTTGGGGCCCACACCTGGCAATGCTCAGGAATTACTCTTGGCTCTGAGATCAGGGATCACTTCTCGTGAGGCTGGGGTACCATATGCAGTACCAGGGATCAAATCCTGGTCAGCCACATGTAAGCTGGTCTTACCTTCTTCTCTAACCTTTTCCCGTTTAATGTGCTTGTTTCAGTTTATTCAGGTTGTTCTACCTAACTCCAACCCTCCCCTTCTCCGGTATTTCCTCACCAACAAAATTCCTCATATTAACAGCACAAAATGCATCATTCTACATTTTCCTTTATTTCAAACAGAAACACATTTACTCATACCTATTAAATAAACCTATTCATAGGTATGTTCCCTTTGTTTTTGTTAAATTTTCTCCTTTGGGTTTGTGTCACAAAAGTGAAATTGCTAGGTCAAGGGACATCTATCAATAACAAAGCAACTAACATTTAGTTATGTAGTTCTTCTTAGGCACATTTAGTGCCCGGATTCCTGGTTTATAGAGTAGGACGCAGTTTTCTAATTTTTAGAGTTTTGATGAGAATTAGAGTTATTATAAGTAAATACTTAGGTACTATTAGTAGAAATATTGTGAACAGAAGTAAGAGTCCACAACTAACTCTGAGAATGGAATGATGTTATGATAGTATTCCTGTAGGGATAATTGCGATCAGATAAGCCAGCATGAGAAGAGCAAGGGAAGATAGATTTGTTGATAATAAGCTTTTTCTTTCCTTGTAAAAGAAAAAAAGATTTCTCTATGAATATGAACTCAAAATCATTATTTTCAATTAAACTATGTAATGGGATTCTTGTTAGAATTATATGAAATTGTTATGGTAAATTTGGGAGGTTGACTGTATTCTTTCAGAGCTAAAGCAGCATTTGCAAATCCTGGATTTCTTAAAGGGAGTCAGAAGCACTTTTCAGCCCCAAACCAGATACTCTTGTGGGCCGCCTTACCTGCTCTCATTTAATCTTCTTAACAGTCCTCGATAATAGTTCTCTTATTTAGGTTAAAAGAAATTCCTCGGATATATCTAGCAACTTGTTAGTAAGTACAGAACAGGGATTCAAAAAATCCTCTTTTTCTTTCCTGCCAGTGTAGTAAAAGTTGTCCTACTGGAAACTTTATTTTCAGTGAAGTAAACATCCTTGGTAGGAAGAGATTAGCTGTTCACGGGCCGAGGCCAAGTCCTCCAGAGCAGTCCTCCAGCCCCACGTGCATGCGAGCCACCACCTGCACATCCTTTTCAAATGCAGCTTTGGGGTCAGTGTGTCTGGCCTGAGCATCTGCATTCGAAGACCCTGGTCCTGTGAGGCAGGTGCTGCTGCTGAGAGCTCTTCACTGGGAACAATAGGACTGTCGTCTTTGCGCTCGTTCTCACTGCAAATAAAACAAAACTTTGCCATCCGTGGCATGTAAACCTCACCTCTGAGATCTCACTCCATACCCCAGCTGTGAAGAAGGAATTTTTTTTTTTTTGCCTCTGGTGCTGCAGAGCTGAGAAACCTACCCACCTCATTGTGAGAGCGCGAGCTATAGTGTGTTCTTCATTCAGCATTTTCAATGGACTTTGCTTCTCTGGTTCTATAATCCTGGTACCTCCCGCCCCTGCCCCCTACTCCAGGATTTTAGCATAAAGAAAAAGAAATCTTCATTGAGAAAGCTACCAAAGGCCCCCACAAATTTGTTTTGCTGTTCTGAGAGTTGAAAATAGAACAATGCATTTTTAGTTTTATTTTTTTTGGTAAAAATGTGCTCCGAGTGTTTACTTTTTTTTTTTTAAAGCTTAAGGCATAGATTTATCTAAGCAGAAGTAATTGACGGCACCTGCAAGATCATTGCTGTGGAACTACCTTGACATGCCATCTGTGGAGTGGCAGGCTTAAGCCCCTAAAGATGCTCAGTCTCATGACACCTGTGGCAAGTTAGCAGCAAGATATGGGGCCATACTGGTGTGTCCAGAGTGTGGTGGCTTTGTGATGGGAAAAGGTATATGTGATGCAGTGTCCGTGACTAGACTGCCTTGAGAACTCTGGAGAGGCCAGAGAGATAGTACTGGGTGGGGTTCGGGCGCTTGCCTTATCTGCAAGAGACCCTGGTTCAGTTCTCAGCACCACGTAATGGACCTCCAAGCCCCAAGCGCAGAGCCAGGAGTTAAGTCCTGAGCATAGCTGGGTGTGACCCCAAAACTGAATAGAAGTGGAGATAAAAACTCTTGAGACCATAATTCACCTTCTAGCCCTGATTAAGCAAGGAAATGGGTTTTTCACTTGAGATATCCTACTTTTACTATTTTAATGGTAAACTTATTAAAAATAAAGCCTTATTCTATTGTAAAAAAAAAAGAATTATTTTTCTGTTTTGGGGCTGGAGCGATAGCACAGTGGTAGGGCATTTGCCTTGTGCGCAGCCGGTCCGGCAGAGCCGGGTTCGATTTCTTCACCTCTCTCAGAGAGCCCGGCAAGCTACCGAGAGTATCTCTCCCACATGGCAAAGCCTGGCAAACTCCCCGTGACGTATTCAATATGCCAAACACAGTAACAACAAGTCTCACAATGGAGGCGTTACTGGGCCTGCTTGAGCAAGTCGATGAACAACAGGAGGACAGTGTTTGTTTTTTTCTGTTTTTTTGGGGGGGGGGCACAACTTGTGGTGCTCAGGGTTTACTCCTGTCTCTGTGCTCAGGGGTCACTCCTGGCTGCACTCAGGATAAATATATGGTACTGGGGGTCAATCCTGGGGTAGCTGTGTGCAAGGCCAGTACTCTACTGGCTGTGCCCTAAAAACATCAGAAGTTTGTGATACTTAGGTAGTAATATTTTGCTCCTGAAAGTATGGGTGTTTTCTTTGAGACATTCTTGAAATTGGTGAGCAGATACATTCATCAGCTATGTTTATTATGTTCTGAAAGGGTAATGTTTCATCGATTCAATTTTTAATTACCCTTTCTGACCATCAGATAAGCACCACTGCTTTTCACTTCTTACTGAAGAAAGTAGCCCCAGAGAGAAAATACACTGATTAACTTTGAAAAGAAATTTACAGAAGAAAGCTTCAAAAGTGGACAGGAAATCTAGTTCTGCTTGTGGGCTGTGCATGAGGTAGATGAAATGACCCAGGCTCAGTGCTCTGTTTCTTTTCCTCTGGCTCTCCAGGGTGAGCCAAAGGTGTTTGCAGAGATTCTTAACAAGTGGATGTTGACAGTCACACAGCATCTATCTACTCTTAAAAAGAAAATTTTTATTTGATGCCTCTCAGATTTATGCTATGAAAGGAATTCACTGGGTTTATTTTTTTTTTTTTGCAGTTTTTGCTAAAGAATAGGGGAGTTCTAACAAAGGGTTTTTCATAGTTTTAAATAAACTTTAGATGCA